CCGGTTGGTCTCTAGGCAAATCAGGGGTAATTGACGTGACAGTGGTACTTCCGCTCAATCCAACCCTGATAGACGGAGCGAGTACTACTCCCGGATATTACCTACAGTCCACTGAAAGGAGAAAACACCAACAAAATGACACGAAATGCAAAGAACTCAATTGGTTCTGCCTACCAGTTGCAATTACACCTTATGGATAGTGGGGGGAAGAAGGACAAAAGACCCTCGGCCGCTTTGCTCGCAGAATTGCCAACGAAAGTTGTTTACGAACATTACTCGATCGAACTCGAACAGCAAGGACACCCAAACGTGTACGAGTGCTCCTCAGCTTTTGGTTGCAAGTGCGGATCATTCCTCGGCAGTCGATAAAGTAAGCACATACTCCCCTTGTAGTAAATCGGAAACCAAAGGGCTCCTTTCGAGGAATCAACTGGTTTTTCTTTTTGCTGCAGTTTAAAATTAGAATATACTAAACCGAATGGCTTCTAGCGAGGAGCCACCTGGTTGAGTGTATTCTATCATTTCCCTAGTTAAGACACTACAAATAAGTTGAAGTAACAATCTGATTAAACCAAATTCTGTTAAGCAAAATCAGAATGGCGAATCGAGGAAACAAGTGTTACACTTGTCGGGGGGGGGGGGGGGAAGGTTTTGAATTAACCATCGGTTGAAAGTATAGAGAAATACTGAAAGTGTACAATTTATGCTGGAATGATATTCGATGAAAAATGTTTATTGATTGTGGCATGTAACATTCGCCCGGAAGATACATATCGACGGAGAACAAAACTAAGTCCTAAGACGACTGGCTAACGTCTAAACAGAGCTTTGCATGCTTTTCACCGTCTCTACCAAGCCAGTACTTTCGGTGGTCTTTCTAACATCGGGTCGACAAAAAACGTTACTGCTTTCGGCTTCGGTCAAAACACTCAAATTAACTTAATTACATGCAGAAATAGTGAGCTCATGGCTGGGTCTCAGTATCCCCAGACCACGAGGTCACTCCTAAAAACAGGGCTACTACTACTTATTGAATTATTATTAATAAGAATTTTTTAAAATTGTTAATTCAAACGTTTTCGCACATTTTGTGCATCGTCAGGATATAAAATTTTTTATTTACAATAAAATGATCAAAGATCAGGTATGAAATTTTTGTTCAGTAGATAAAAATCATCATCTCCATCGAAGATGGATCAACCCTTTCCCCCAACTCCTAGCTTCTCATCTTAGTAGAATGAATTCGGATGTTAATTAAATTCAATTCAGGACATGACAGGGAAGCTAAAAGTTCATACAAAATGATAAAAGTTTCAGTCCCGAAACCCCTCCGGATTCTCGAATCCACTGAATCAAGCACGTTAAGCTTGATTTCCCTGTAACCCGGAAGGCTGGTTTCCACCCCTCACTGTTGTTAGCAACTGCTTTGCAACTATTGTAGCGACACAATAGTTGCAACTCGGAGCGGTCTCTGTCGCTTCTGTTTCTCTCTGTGGTTTTTTTATCACAATCTTCGTTGTTTTCGTCAGCGCAACTATCGTTGTTGTGTCGCTTTTCAGCTTTTCTGCCAAAATGGCCGTTTTTGACGTTTCTGAGAATTGTTACGTCATCACTTCGAAAATTTAAAATTTAGGAATTTCCGAATCCTTCAACCTTCACGTTTTGTTCAATCGTTCGAATAACGTTCTTATTCCTTCTCAATCGCCAATTCGGAAGGTTCGCTGCTAAAAACTCCGAAACTGCAGAGTTTGCAATTTGTCCATTCTGGTCGAATGTCACATACTCCCCGGACAGTCCGGTCAATGTCCTCATTGAATCTCGCAATGTTCGTAAAATAGATACAGTGTCCTCGAACAGAATTTACAAAATGCACGAAATTACTTTTATCCACGTCATATCGACTCACTGCAGAATATAAATG